TCTCTCTCTCTGTCCTCCTCAACCTGCTCCTCCTCTCTCTCTCTCTCTGTCCCTCTTCACCCTGCCCCTCCTCTCTCTCTCTGTCCTCCTCACCCTGCTCCTCCTTCTCTCTCTGTCCCTCCTCACCCTGTGCCTATTCTCTTTCACTGTCCCTCCTCACCCGCTCCTCCTCTCTCTCTCTGTCCCTCCTCACCCTGCTCCTATTCTCTCTCTCTGTCCTCCTCACCCTGCTCTTCTCTCTCTCTCTGTCCTCCTCACCCTGCTCCTCTCTCTGTCCCTCTTCACCCTGCTCCTCCTCTCTCTGTCCCTCTTCACCCTGCTCCTTTCTCTCTCTCTCTCTCTCTCTCTCTCTGTCCCTCCTCACCCTGCTCCTCCTCTCTCTCTCTGTCCCTCCTCACCCTGCTCCTCCTCTCTCTCTCTGTCCCTCCTCAACCTGCTCCTCCTCTCTCTCTCTCTCTGTCCCTCTTCACCCTGCCCCTCCTCTCTCTCTCTGTCCCTCCTCACCCTGCTCCTCCTCTCTCTCTCTGTCCCTCCTCACCCTGTGCCTATTCTCTTTCACTGTCCCTCCTCACCCTGCTCCTCCTCTCTCTCACTGTCCCTCCTCACCCTGCTCCTCCTCTCTCTCTCTGTCCCTCCTCACCCTGCTCCTATTCTCTCTCTCTGTCCCTCCTCACCCTGCTCTTCTCTCTCTCTGTCCCTCCTCACCCTGCTCCTCCTCTCTCTCTCTGTCCCTCCTCACCCTGCTCCTATTCTCTCTCTCTGTCCCTCCTCACCCTGCTCTTCTCTCTCTCTGTCCCTCCTCACCCTGCTCCTCTCTCTGTCCCTCTTCACCCTGCTCCTCCTCTCTCTGTCCCTCTTCACCCTGTTCCTTTCTCTCTCTCTCTCTGTCCCTCCTCACCCTGCTCCTCCTCTCTCTCTCTCTGTCTCTCCCTCCTCACCCTGCTCCTCCTCTCTGTGTCTGAGCTTTAAAAATCCTACCTTTCTCACCTGTCCACAGGTGAGTGTGACAGTCAGATCATTACAGAACGTTACCAAAAAAATATGTGTTGTGATTAGCTAATCGTGACTCTGTCGTGATTAGCTATTTTTTTCTTTTTAGACTATACAAAATCAGCGGTAATAGGTCGTCTTCTGCCTCTGACTGCTGTGGAGTGTGTTACAGTTTGTGTGTGTGTAGATTTAAATTAGTGTTAACTTGTGTTTCCAGCGCAAAGCGACAGGTTGTCTCCTTTTTGTTAACTCTGATTTAAACATGTTAAAGTTCCTGATGAATCCATCAATGTTTTTATTACACTTAAGAGATTTAGGAGGCACTCACACTAGGCAAAGTTGTCCCTTACCGTGCTTTAGCACAATGCCCCCCCCCCCCCCCCCTATTCCCCCTCTTGCCTGCTCTCACACTGCTCCAGGACTAACCGGGCCAGCTCACGGAATTGAAAATAAATAAAATAAAAGGGGACGTGTGGTCACGCCTTCGTCTGCACATCAGAGAACTTATTTTGTCTTATTTTGATTCGTGTCACTCGGTAGTGTCTCGAAGCATCAGCTGTCTTAAACCCAACCCAGTCTCATGTCAAAATGTGTAATACCTACGTTGGTCCACAGCGCAGCGTAGTAGTTTCACAATAAGGGCTCTAAAATTGTGACATGCCTACATTTCCTTTTGCCTATTCTTTTGTATAGGCATACCTCAGGTCACGTGACTGCCCAGTTTTCCCCTGGCGAACAAATAAACGTGGCGGACATCCCTTTTATTTTCGGCAGAAAATGCAATATTTTAAGATAGTTTGAGGCTTAAGTGTTGTTTTGATAACCTTTCTGGCAACAAATGTACATTGTATCTTCATAATCTTCGTTTGGTTTATGTTTATGATCTTTAGTTTGTTCGTTTCTATGAAGATTCTTTCAGGTCTCGATAGAGAAGCGTTGGATTGTTACGTTTTCTACTGTTCCTATGATGGTAGCTATGGACGCTATCAACAACGAACCGGAAGGAAGTGGACGTTCGGTTTGCGGCTCTTAAAACGGGTTACATCAGACCCTAGACATCAAACTAAGCTCCTATGCAATAAATAATGATTTCTGTTACATTTTTATGGATGTCTTTCATTACAACCCAATTTAATAAAACGATTGGAACAGATCGATGCATATTAGCAACATTATAAACTATAAAATGTAACAATACATAAAGACAATACTGTACAGTTTGTGTGATTTATATGATTTCATAATTTTATTCAACAAAATAATCCTGATGGATTAGATTAATACCAGAAAATGCAATCAATAAAAATAAACGGCCGGCGATAAGAACAACAAACGGGCACATGACACTGACATCAAATAATGATGTATTGATAATCGTCACTTGTGAGCAACCTCTTTATTAGATCTTTCAGGGGGTATTTACTGATGTTTTTTAAGGTTGGTTGCAAAAACACATCTTAAATCTGTGTTAACCAAAGAACCCATTCCAGGAATCGGAATTTGAATTGCCCCCCGGGGACAAATAAAGTTTTTTGAATTGAATTGAAGCAAAAACCCATTCAAAAAGCCCATTATGCTATGGTCTGCCAGTGTACTGCTGACATGCGCAATCGTGCAGTCACGCCCACTGTTGGTTTAAAGGCCGAGGGCGCGCACCTGGTAACTTTTAGTTCACCATCGATTCAACGCCCCTCCCTCCTCTCCGTAGGCTCAAATTTTAAATCCCTTTTTCATACACTTATGTTTGACCTCAACAGTTCAACGTCCTAGGTCTCTTCTAAGCGATTTTGTGAGCCCACAAGTCACTTAAGGCCCCACTCTGAATTTTGCCAAACCTTTCACAATTGAAACACTTTTATCAAAACAAAAAAGAATGGTGTTAAAAAGTGTGAAAATGTTCCAAAAGACAGAGGGTCATTCTCCACTATATTCTGTATGCTTTGTGAACAAGACTGATGTTAAAAATCCATTTTAAAGGTGCTTAAAAGAGCTAATTTGACCATTTGAGGCCTAGCAGAGACATGAAGCCTTTTGACCTGTTCAACCCTGTTGCTCTATGAAAGACATTAAACTGAATATTAAAACAATGAATGATGACAAATTAGATTAACTCTTGTATAAGGAAAGAAGGATAAAAAAAAAAAGTACTAGGATGAATTAATATGGAAAAGAGCATAAGAGATCTTTACTTTTAGCCATAATTCTAAACCAAGCACTTAAGGCTGTCCTCCAAGCATATAGTTCCCCAGATTCTGTGATATACTTAAACCAAAACAAACAAACAAAATTAAAAAAAAACAAAAAAACATATTATGTACTGGGCTTTGAAAGCGCTCTATGAAAGTATGACTGCAAGACCCCTTGCTTATGAAATGAGAATATTTAAGTTTTTGGCTTAGAGCTGAACAACATACATCGTTGGAAAGGTCTCATCCTGGAGAGTAACATATGTGAAGATGAGGTTTCAACATGACCCCCGTTTTGAAATAATGCCCTTTGAACCTTGACCCAAGGGCATGTTTGAAGGCTTATACCTCAGCAACAAAAGGGGCTACAGACATGGGAATAACTGTTTTAGAGAGGTCTTGGAACAAAGTATCATGTGAGGGTAGTCAGCTCACCAAAACAACAGGGGGAGCTGCTATATATGGTTAAAATACATTTTAACAAATGTATCAATTATTTTTTAAATATCTGATAACATAAATGTGTTAACCATCCAATTAAACTCCCCTGTGTACCCTCAATTAAAAGGTCAGAGGGATTGGTTGTAACAAGGATTATGAAAGGCTTACAAAAGATATATTCACTGAATATGTCACAGATCTCGTGTGGCCGAAGTATTTATTGCATAGTACATATATGATCTACTACGTTTTGCGCTGTGGACCAACGTAGGTATTACACATTTTGATGAGACTGGGTTGCTTAAACCACATCACCAACTAATATGAATGTTATCCTCCTTGTTATTTAGAAAAGAAAATTAAAGATTCAAATACAGCAGCGATTTGTGATGGAAGTGGGATCAGATTGACTCTGATTTTCAGGTTTTTTTCTTGGTCATAAAAAGTGTTTAAAGTTGGAACAAATTTTCAGGAAAAATCACACAAAACAAGTCAAAAGGCCTCTTCCTTGAACTGTAAAACACCTCAGTAATAGAGCTTTCACACCTGCAGAAAACTCCTGAAAGACTCCTTATATTTCCAGGAGCGGTTGCATGTGTGAACGCAGACAGACACATTTTTTGTTCGGACTTCACCCGGAGTTTCTCCTCCAGCCTCCTTGTATTTATTCTGCAGAAAGTCAGAGTGAGCTGATATGAGAACACAGCAGGATATAATCAGGAGAATTCACCTGGAGTCATTGGGAGGGGGTGGTGACATTTCTATACTGTTACTGCTGCACAGTGCGCCGCTAAGACTTCCGTACACGTAAATATACTGCAGCATGACGTCGTCTGCTCTCCAGTATGTTCTTCTCCACTCTTTAGTTCAGACTGTGATTCTGTTGAAATACACACAGCATTGATATAAAGACTCATATTCTCATTGCTTCTTCCGCTACAGCATCAAGTCTGGATTCATACTCCGCTGAAAGTAGTTCCCAACAACAAACAATTTCCTCCAGTTTGAGTAACAGTGTTTAAAATACTTCAGCCCAGATGTGTTACTAAAACACTGAACATCTGATTTTTAAATTTAAATATTAGTGAAGTTTTTAAGGGTCAGTTCAAACCAATGAGCTGAGAGACGGACAGTAAATTAGGTTTTTAGAAACACGTTTTGTTTTCTGAAGGATGACCTGTGGTTCACTTTATCTTCTTCACTTGAACACGGCGTCATTCCTAACATCTGTGTGCATAAAGGTTAAATGGTCATCGCATATTGAGCTTTAATTCTCCCTCAGCAGAGTTTTTATTTTTGTTGACATGACAGAAAAATCCCACCACCTCAGACCGGAGACAAAACATTGCTCGTGATTTAAAACCTGTTTCTCTCTTTTCTCAGGTGATGTGTCACCCATCAGTATGTCCCCCATCAGCCAATCACAGTTCATCCCTTTGGGAGAAGTACTGTTATTGGCTATCTCTGCTATGAACTCCGCCCACAAGCCTGTGACTCAGGAGGCTCTGACCGAACATCTGCAGACATGTTTCCCAGGTAACAACACTTTTTAATTTACATGTTCTTCAACTGCTGCTACTCTGCAGGTAAAAGGTACCGGCCTTCATAACGAGATGTACACATGATGACTGCTCAGAAGGAAAGACACGGCGTAAAACATGACAACATGGCGGACGTCGTGTGTGTGTGTGTGTGTGTGTGTGTGTGTGTGTGTGTGTGTGTGTGTGTGTGTGTGTGTGTGTGTGTGTGTGTGTGTGTGTGTGTGTGTGTGTGTGTGTGTGTGTGTGTGTGTGTGTGTGTGTGTGTGTGTGTGTGTGTGTGTGTGTGTGTGTGTGTGTGTGTGTGTGTGTGTGTGTGTGTGTGTGTGTGTGTCAGAGAGATTGCGTCATGTCACCAAACCAACTGCACAAGCATGATGTAATGACGGGCAACACACACACTCTATAGAGTGTCAGTCTGATTAGATAAGTTGATCAGAGTGATTCTCTGTGATCTGATACGACACTTTCTGATAAATTAAATATTGAATGAATACATTCAAACTGTATTAACTGTTGTCACCTTCGCTAGATGGTACCAGAACATTATTAATCTTTAACACTTACTAATATTTATATATGTTGGTTCTCAATGGTGGTCAAATATTTTACCACGCTGGCCACCACTAGCTGGGGCTGTAGTCGGTCAATGAGCCTTCTTTCCTCGCTCTAACGCCCGGATGTAAACAAGCACAGTGAATGGAGAGCATCTCGTATGAGCAGAGTATCTGGAAGGATTTAGAAAAAGGAGATAAAGGTATTTGTAGGTTCAGGTTAATCTGACATGTCGAGCTGAGCAATCTGTGCTGAGTGTGGACGTAAACCTGCAAGGAGGGCCAATGATGGCGGTGCAAGCGTTAGCCACACTTAGCAAACAAAACTACATTGTTTACCAGATTCTGCTCAGTATTGCTGTTTTCTCTGTGTTTTCTTACCTTTAGACTAGTCGGTTATGGACTTTGAAATAGGTCGCTTGGAACATCCCTAATCTGAGGGTTGTGTGTGTTTAGAGAAGTTGTGTGATCCTGAAATAAGTTTTTGTTCCAGAATGATCTCTAGATGCAGGTTCAGTTTTGCAGGATTCCAGGTTTGGTTTTATTATCCCTCTACAGAGCTGTATTAAACATACAGCCTTCATGAGGCTGCTTAATGTTTTAGGGTGCACTCACACAGCAATCTGTACCGTGCCTAAGCATGTTTAACCCTGAAAGTCCAGTTCATTTGAATAGTGTGAGTGCTGCGTACAGTGCAGAAGCTCAGTACCTTGGCCCTGGTACGGTTGGAGGACTAGGGATTTCACGATGGTTCCCTTGCTTAGGTAAGAGCACAAGTACAGGTACGTCGTCTTGCATAACTGAGGAATCCAGGAGTGTTAGAGAGCTGTATCTGACCTAAACCACCCTGGTGCTGACTCTTCTTGAAAACAACAGAAAACGTCATGATCATGTTGAAGCCATCTGATGACATGCGTATTAGAGGTAACCGTGCTCAGGTCTGGTTGGGCTCGGTGCAGTGTTTAGTGGAGGCGGGACAATAATACTTCTACGTGGTACTGGGCAACTTGGTCAAATGTGAGTGCATCCTTAGGATACTTTAGTTTCATTTACAACAGGAGTCCAGAGCTCCTGAAAGAGACTTTAGTAAACTCTGCTAACTGTTGTTCAAACAGGACCTTTGGGGTGTGCCCTGAGGTGTTGGACCTTTGTGATTGGTGGAGTATTAGTGTGGCTTTTTCCACACACGTCAGCAGACGGATTTGTGTAATCAGTCTTTAGACCTCTGTGAGACTGTTTGGAGCCTGGCTGATCTGACAACAAGTGGGCAGCAGTTGAGAACAAGTGTTAACACTCTGCATTAACAATGCGTCTCCATTGAGTGCTAAAGAACAGAACTCACATCCAAATAAGCTTCATTTCTGTTTGAAATGACTGGATGCGTTGTTCACGCCTGGCGGGAGGCAGCTCAGTTCTCTCAGTTGAGCGGGTGCTCCTTAATGCTGCCCACTTCAGCGTTTATACCAAAACAATGTGCAGACCATCTCCTTATGTGTTCTGGGCTGCCTGTTCTCAATCTGTCCTCAACATGTATTGGGGTGCGTTCATATCTAGAATTAAGGCTATTCCCTTGTTATCAGATCACCCAAGAATCAGAGTGGATGCTAATGCACGCTGTAAACAGCCTCTAAGAATCAGAATCCTTATTTATTGCCAAGTACATTTGCATATACAAAGAATTTGACTTTGTGTTTTGGTTCAAGGTTGTCTTCACTATCTCTGAGAGAGGGCAATTTGTTTTGCAGTCAGCAGTAAAACACATACATACAGCTCACAATCAGCAAACAACATAGAAAGGACAATACATAAATAGAGTAGTTAAGAGACAGATGGAAGCAGAGGCAACACAGTAAGTAGTTTAAAAAGGTGATGGCAGCAGGAACAAATGAGTTTCTCATCCTCTTTGTCCTGCATGCTGGCAGGCTGAATCTGCGGCCTGACAGAAGCAACTTAAGGTCTTTGGACAAAGGATGACTCTGATCTTCCAAGATTGACTGAGCTTTCTTTAGCCACTTTGTTTTATATGAATAAGAAAGGTCAGAGAGGGACGGTCCTGTGATTCTGCCACACAGTTTAACAATGCTCTGCATTTTGTTACTGTTTTTGACGCTGAGTGATCCGTACCAGGTCACCATGCAGAAAGTTAAAACCGATTCAATGAAACAGGAATAAAACATCTTCATAAAAGTGCTGTCAACACTCAACACAAGGTGAGTTTGTCATCGATGATAGTCCCCAGATACTTGTATTGGTGCACCACCTCAACAGCCTGGTTGTTAATAAAAACGGGGGAAATGAGGGATTTTTCCTGAAATCCACTGTCATTTCTTTAGTCTTTAGGACATTAATGTCCAGGAACTGCACCAGTCTGTGAATTCACTCAGGACTGGGCTGTGATCTGGGTCATCAGTGCTCAGGAGGGAAACGATCACAGAGTCATCTGCGAACTTGATGATGTGCCAGTTCTCATGTCTGCTTTGACACTCATTCTTGTATAGTACAAATAAAAGGGGTGGAAGGATACATCCCTGGGGTGATCCAGTAGAGGAATAAAAAACATCTGAACAAATGCCATTTGCTCTCATACTGTGACCAACAGTTAAGAAAAGGAAATAAGGCAAAACTAGCAAGAACTTCAATCAAGACCACACAAAATTGGGGGGAACTTTCAGTTTGTGATCCAACAGTCTGGAGTTCTTTTGGTGTAACTTTGCTTTCATTTGAAGGTTTACAGACATGAGCTCTGACCGTTAAAGACCACATGAAGTACATTAAAGTAGTTCATACAAGGGGCGCGCTGGTGGCGCAATGGTTAAGGCGCGCGTCCCATGTATTGAGACTCTCGTCTCGAGCGGTAGGCCCGGGTTCGCTTCCACCCGTGGCCCCTTTCCGCATGTCTTCATGCGCTGTTTTCATTGACTCTATCCACTGTCCTCTCTCTGCATTAAAGGCACGAAAAGCCCAAAATAAATCTTGAAAAAAAAAAAAAAAAAAAAGTAGTTCGTACGAGAGACAACCTGGACATGTAACATGAGTTTCTCTCACTCAGTAAGGACCCAATTTGTTCTGAGTGCCCTGCAGGTCAGTGACTGGCTGGAGTTAGTCTGAACCACTTTAAACCAACAGAGTGTGCTTTGAAATGAAGTGGGTTAGAAGTTATTTAACTCACTCTTGTGTCGCTGTCTTGTGTCTCAGGTAATAATAATAGAAAACTGATGTTGAAAACTGTTGAAGTGATATGATTGGCCGTAGGACTCACTGTGACGGAGAACAACAACAGTGATGTATCGGCTAGCTGTATTTGTGTTTATTTAAGTCTATTGTATTGTATGGGATCTCCATTAGTAAAGTTGTGTTAAATATCAACCGTTATTGACGGCTGGTTGAGAGCCAATGTGCCCCGCGGGGACGTTAAAGAGGGCACACATTGAATCGATAATGGCTCTAACAGTTTGAATCATCAGCTCGATGAAGAGGCTGCAAGCTGAGCTGTCGTGTGCGTGCGTGCGTGCGTGTCTCTGTGTAGGTTGTTGCATCACTTTGGCTGGTCTAAAAGACTGGTATGATGTAACTGGCAGTAATACTTCCAGACTGACGGAGACAGAGACAGAGATGGAGAGAGAGAGAGGCAATGAGGAGAGCATGGAGGATACATTTGAAGGATTTAAGAGTAAAATCTGAGGCAGGCTGAAGCAGATCGTCTGTCTGGACATTTGTAAATTGTAATGACTGAACACACTGTCCTCCATGATGAACCTCACCCAATGACTCCCATTACAGCCGCCTTAGTTTACTGAGTGTGGACAATATGAAAGGCGCTCCATATATCAGACATGTTGCAGAGTATACTAAAGGGAACTATTTAGAAGTTTTGAATCTGCAGAAAAACGGCTTAATACAAACCGTCCGTCTTCAACCAGAAAATAAGAGCTGATGTTTGATTCTTCTCATTCTGAAATGACATGAGTACTACCTACACAAAGTGATGTCTTCAGCCTGAAGCATACCGGGTCCACTAAAAGTTGTTGTTTTTGTCCCTGCCAGGCTCAGAGTGTTAAATCCTGTTCCAACTGTACCCTTATTTTTTGCGGCGAGTAATCCAGATGGAGATAGCCGAGTCAGTTATGTCACAGTGTAGCCCGCTATTAATTAAGTTAAATGAAGAAGAAGAACTGTGTGTGTGTGTGTGTGTGTGTGTGTGTGTGTGTGTGTGTGTGTGTGTGTGTGTGTGTGTGTGTGTGTGTGTGTGTGTGTGTGTGTGTGTGTGTGTGTGTGTGTGTGTGTGTGTGTGTGTGTGTGTGTGTGTGTGTGTGTGTGTGTGTGTGTGTGTGTGTGTGTGTGTGTGTGTGAGAGAGAGAGAGAAACTTATTTCTCAGTTGTCAATGCTGCGTCCTCATATAACTCGTACAGTGTGATTCTTGTAAAACATGAAGAGTGTTCCTGCTCTAACTGGTGTCTGTCTCTTGTTCCTCTCAGGTGTTCCCACGCCAACAGAGGAGGTTCTGCACCACACGTTGGGCATGCTGGTCCGTGAGCGGAAGATCTACCCAACACCAGACGGATATTTTATCGTCACCCCTCAGACGTACTTCATCACCCCGAGCCTCATCAGAACCAGCTCCAAGTGGTACCACTTAGACGAGCGGTCAGCTGAGCGACATCAGCAGCAGCATCAGAACCAGCAGACGCAGTGCACCTCCCCTCTCTCGGGCACCATCACCTCCGGACCCGTCAGGGACAGATCGCACCCTAAGTCCAGCCAGAACCACAGCGGGGGAGGAGGAGGAGGCGGGGATACCTTCTACAACAACAGTTACCGTGGTGAAGACCCTCCCAGCCACCACACCACCCTGTCACGCAGATCCCCCAAAGACCACCGGGAGGCGTACTCGTCCCCACACTCCCCACAAACTCCTCCTCAGCAGGCAGGAGGAACCACGGAGAAGAGCCGCAGCAGCCTCGGGTTCCCCTTCAAGACGGACACACTCACCAAGCACCGAGGAGGGGGCGGGGGCGGGGGAGGAGGAGGGACAGGAACAGGAGAGGTGGAGAAACAGGCAGGTGGAGGCAGTGGAACAGGAAGTCGTAAGTTTGGCCTGAAGCTGTTCCGTCTGAGCTTTAAGAAAGACAAGGCCAAGCAGCTGGCCACCTTTTCGGCTCAGTTCCCTCCTGAGGAGTGGCCGCTCCGCGACGAGGAGGTGCCCAGCCAGCTGCCCCGCCACGTTGAGATGGAGATCATCCGCAGGATCAACCCTGACCTCACGGTGGAGAACCTGGCTCGCCATACAGCCGTCATGAAACGTCTGGAAGAGGAGCGTGCTCAGAGAAGCAAAGCCTCATCAGCCAATCAGAGCTCGAGGAGCAGGAGGAGCGGGGGCCGTCATAGGAAGCAGTCTCAGGCCAAACTGAGCCGCTCTCACAGTAAGACCAGGGCATCCCGTGGTGAGCCCAGTGACCTGGAGCTGCCCGACCGGGACTACCGAGCATACTCATCCTCGCTGGCCCGGTCGCCGAGGGAACACGCCCTCGCCATGGAACGGCAGCGTGCCCGGCTTCATCTGGCGCACAGCAACCCCAACATCCTTGATTCCTCCCACCTTCCTGTCACTCCTGAGTGGGACGTGTCTGGAGAGCTTGCCAAGCGCCGCACAGAGATGCCTTTCCCCGAGCCGAGCCACGGCCCTTCGGCCCACCACTCCAAAGTGCACCGCTCACACTCGCACACCCAGGAGAGGAAGTCCAGGAATGAGCGCAGCGACAAGGCCAAGGAGCGATCCCGGTCCATGGACAATTCCAAAGGACCGCTTGGGGCTGGGCTCATCGGGCCGCCAGATTACTATGATGACCGGAGCCGCTACTACACAGACGATGGAACCCTCAGAGCCAATCAGAGCTCTGCTCATTACTCTCGAGCCACGCCCCCTTCGGCTAAGCATCCTGTGGACTCTTTAGGGCTGGATGGTGGGCGGAGCTTAGAGAAGAGTAAGAGCAGGGACAGCCTGCCCGCTTACTCTCCAAAACCACTTCTCCCCTCCATCCCCCCGGATGATTACTTCCAGTGCTCGGGTTCATCTGAGGCCGTCCTCACAGCTGCTAACACGCTTGGAACTCTGGGTAAGAGCAGCCACGAGGGGTTAAAAGTGGGCGTGACTGACAGGCAGACTGACAGACAGACTCCCCACACCCTGGACAGTAAGGAGGACTTGTCAAAGGTTGGGCCTAAAGGGGGCAGCCTGCCTCCGATACCTCTGTCTATTCCTGACCCCCCGCTTGCCAACGGCAGACCCCCCCACAGCTCCTCCTCTGGTCAGGAGAAACGTAAGGAGATCTTTAGTAAAGACACACTCTTCAAACCTCCTCCCAGCCTCCCCTTACCTGGGTACAGCTCCCTGAGGAAAACCCCCGCTCTGGTCGCTTCTACCCTGTCCTCATCCTGTGATGCTATTGATTCCCAGGAGGCCTTTGACGCCCCAAAACCTCTGGTGGCCACATCGTCCGCCCCTCCACCAGGGATCGAAGCGACTCCTGGTGCTGCAGAGGCCTCTTTTGACTACTACAACGTGTCCGACGACGAGGAGCTGGAGGAGGGCGGGGCTAAGAGTCGAGGGGAGGACGAGAAGTCTGGAGGAGGTGTTGTTGGGAGGGGAGGTGGTGGAGCAGGGACCATGCAGTGGCTGCTGGAGAGGGAGAAGGAGAGGGACCTTCAGAGGAGGTTTGAGAGGACTCTGGCCTTCCCTGGTGCTAAAGAGAACCTTCCAGAACCCGCTCAGAACCAGCAGTCAGCTCACTCTGCTCGACTGGACAGCATGGACTCCAGCTCGGTAACTGTGGACAGTGGATTCAACTCACCAAGGTGAGAACATTCATACTGAGTGTGAACTATACAGGTGCATGTTGGTCCTTAGTCACTCTCACTAAGAGAGAGGCAGAAGGAAAAGTTAGGACTCATTTATGGCCCTCCTTGGACACAATTTAGTTTATTCAGAAAGCTTTAAGATTAACCATCAACTATCACTAATCAAGTTGTTCTTAAAACCACTGAACAGGCTTATTAGTTTGATAACAGAACAGCGTTTAGGTTTATTGTCACACATTTAACATGGCTTTTTTGATTCCTTTAACCCATTGAGAATTAAAACCAATAAATACCATGAATTCATCAGATGTGTGATCATTAGAATCAGTATCTCTGAAGCTCTTCAGATTTAGGATGTGATGGGACTGTGAGCTGAGATGCTGCTAATATTGTTAGCTTAGTTATCAGGTTAAAATCGGTTTGACGAGCTGAGAGACAAACCAGGATCTCCTCCTCTCCAAAACATCTGTAACCTGTGAATAGGGCTGGGCGATATGACCTCAAATCAAAATCACGATTAATTGAACATTTGACCTCGATGACGATTAATGAAGGATTATTTCATTTTTGTTTTTTGTCCTCAGTTCACTGACATGCTCTCTATTGCAAATATGCTAAACTATTAAATCTGGGATATGTTTTCTATTGACAAAGTGAATATTTTAAACTGAAATCAAAGCATCGCTTGAAATTAAAACGACACATTTTAGTTTTAAAGTAGAAATGAACCTCTCTAAAACATGATCAAGATTACGTTGGTTAAAGATTCTGAATGTCGGTTTCGATTAATTTCCCAGCCCTACTTGTGAATTTAACCTGTAAGAAAGGTGGAGGGGATGTGACCGGGTCAACATGGCTGCAGGGACAGTGGCAGAAAGTTTTAAAGACAAGCTGATGGACCAAGTCTTCGATTATCAACATCTGTACGTGTCATTGTGACAAACATCTGGCGACAGATGAGTTTTGTTCTAGAAGTCGACTAAAAAACCTGAAAAACGAATCAATGGAAACAAGTCTAGGACTATTAAGTCCACAGGGAGGAAAATTTTGGAGAAACTGAGTGAGATTATGAGTTGTGTCCACAGGTCATAGGTCACCTGAGCTGATTCGATGTTACTATTGTATTTTAATCTAAGAACTCATATTATAGTAACCTTCTGGGTGTCGCCTTGTCTGTTTTCATCCTGCACATCAGGTAATGTCACACAGCCTGTGCGCTCGGGTGTGCCCTCTAGAGGTATCCTCCAGTAACACCCTTAGTGCATAACCAAGAGCGTGTAGGATTACGCTCATGATATAGCCAGCTGTGTGCGCTGCCTTAAAGTGCCACTAACACGTCTCTGTCGTTCTCTGTAACCTTCTGCCACCTGAGGAGTGAAATACTGTTTCTGCTTAAAGATGAGCTCGATCTAAAAAGATGACATGACTCATAACAGGAAGAAGACAATGGGATGAACAAATATATATTTGTCACTAACACAAAGTTTTTACAATTTTTAACGAGAAGTCTTGTTACCCTGACCTGCTCAGTGTCTACTAAATGAATCAAAGATAGTCACTATAGAACATAATTAAGTCTAAATTAGGATCAATGACGATGACAACATAAATCAGTATGTAGTGATGCAGTGCTGAACTCCAGTCACCAAACTTAAAGGAGCAATATGTAACTCTGACACCTAGTGTTTAAAATGGGTACTGCAGTCTGAATTCTAAACATTGTAGAGAGCTGTCTCTCCCCCCTCCTCTCTAGAGTCGAGAGCTCACGCAGGTCGCCATGTGGTGGACACTGAAGCTTCAGTTTTTATCCAGCTCTGCATGGGTCTGTAAACCTTTCTGTGTTCTAACCTCTCTCCATTTTTCAGAGTTTACTGAACTAACTCATATCAGCTGTTCTGAAAACACCTGAGGGTAAATCAACTCAGAGTTTAGGGTCAGACTTAGACGTTGATGAACCTCCTTTCTGAAATGGGTCCCACCTCCTGTGATCCCGCCTCCTGTGATGTTATGTTTGTACTATTTTGTAAAATCTCCTTCTCTCTCTCTCTCTCTCTCTCTCTCTCTCTCTCTCTCTCTCTCTCTGTCTCTGTCTGCAGGACGAGGGAGAGTTTGGCGTCGAACACTTCCTCCATTGTGGAGAGTAACCGTCGGCAGAACCTGGCTCTGAGCCCCGGACACCTCAGCATCACCTCCGGGAACGGACCCCCGTTCTCCTTCAGAGCCATCCCAGAACCTTCCGGAACCCAACCTGAGAAACTCCAGAAGCCCAACGCCTGCCTCGCATCAATCACCAGCGTGTAGGGGGCGGGGCTAAGGGCTGGGAGGAGCGCTGAGACCCGATGGATAGGAACTACAAATCCACCCCCCCCCCCCCCCTCCAAAAAAAGGACTGTTACACCTTCAGACTGACGGACTGTCTGAGTCAGTGGAACTGTGCACACACACACACACACACACACACACACACACACACACACACACACACACACACACACACACACACACACACACAGGCAGACTCTAACATTATCATCTACAGCCTCCAGTTTACACACTGCTGTTGTGTTGTTTCACTTATGTGGGTTGTAGTTGTATGTGTGTGTGCGTGCGTGCGTGCGTGCGTGTGTGTATTATCTGTTATCTCAGGTCATGTTATTTCCCACCTGGCTGCTCCAAGTCAGCACGTCTCCCTCTGCTGGTGCCTCCTGGTATTACACTCTGAAAAAGCTGCAAAGCTGCTCTGCTGACTACTGATGCTGAGGTTACACACACACACACACACACACACACACACACACACACACACACACACACACACACACTGGTACTAACATGAGTGTGCACAGGTGATCTTAACCCCCCTCCCTGCTCATTGAGGAAGTAAACATAGATGTGATTTCTATCATGAAAAACCCTTAAAATAGAAGTTACTCTCTCTCTCTTCATTCATATTTTTCAGGATCATCGCTTAATCAAAATTAAATTCAGTGTATCTTATCAGACTAAAGCAGGAGGGTATTTTGTCTTGTTTATTTCGGGTGTAAACCTGAAAAAAGAACCGGGTTCTCTCAAACGGGTTCTCTCAAGAGAAGAAACCAACCTTTAAAATGTTTCATGGAGGTCAGAGCTATCGTTTCAGATGCATTCAAGTTAGCCTGGAAATCGAAACGCTGGCTGGCTTTCACGTCACGGCGTCAAGTAGAAATGTTTGATCTAGATCAGATAGTTAGCTGCACATTAATCCAGATATCTGTTGATAGAGTCGTCGGATTACCGCTGATGTTCGTCGCTTTGGGTTAAAGCGTCTGCTGACTGGAATGTCATTAACGCAGTTTGTTCTCCGGCCACTTTTGGTTTCCATACCAACTGTTTTTCCTGCACACAACAAAGCCTGCTGATTCATAATATGTCATAGCAGAACATCCAGAGTCTGTGTACAGATTCTACGTGTATAAAATGTAAATAGAGTTTATCTTTATCTGGACCAGAGCAGCTCTGAATGTGGTCTGAGGGATCAGAACTCTGCCGGTCTAAGGTGTGTTCTCACCTGAACCTGCATCTCCATGAACTCATGTTAGTACCAGGTGTGAACGAGGCCTCTCTCTCTCTCTGTCTCTCGCTCTCCCCCCCCCCCCCTTTCTCTCTCTCTCGTTCTCTCGTTCTCTCTTTCTCTCTCTGAGAGCGGCAGAGAGAGGGGCGTGATATTCAAACATGTGAGACGTTCAGACAGGTGGTCGATGTGTTCCCACAGTTTTCTGATGTAGAATGAAGCGGAGCAGCTCTCACCTGTTGTTACCTTCCTGCAGACAGACCCTCCTCTTCCTCTCTGTGACTCCTCATGTCCTCAGACTGGACTCTGCACAGGACAGGAGGAACTCACCTGTATCAACCAGTATCGTCACTCTACCGGAATATCAAACTCCAATACCATTCTTGTAAAAATCTCAAATTTCACCAGTTTCGATACCACGGCAACAACATTCCACCCTTCAAAACTTGTTTTTTAATTGACAGAAACTCTGACAGTACTTTGTCTAAATTTCACAAAAACATTGGCAACATGTTGGCAACCCTTACGTTGACTGAGGCCCTGCCGCTGTATGTGTGTCTTGTTTCCATGACAACAGGCCGCTGCAATTTGAGATCGTCTTTCGCCTTCACTTTGAGCGTCAAACGGAGGATGCTCCTCCTACTTTGTCTGAACTCAGTAATAAAGACGGCGCTGCTATCATGGCTACGGCCGGACACGGAGTGAGGACCAGACCGATCTACTTCATGATTGGCTGGTTGAAAAAATGCAATGACGTCAACAGCGCTCTTCTGACAAGTTTAACAATTTTCAACTCAAAGCGCTCGAAGCGGCCGCACTAAAAAAGGCAGAACTCTCTGGGCGCCTCCTGCTTCACACGCTCTCTCCTCTTTGTAAACAATTTCAAAAGACGCCATGTGGTCACGGGGCCTGACTGCAGATCTGTAGTTTTTTACAGCTTTGATCATTTAGACGTGATTAGTGTGAAATGAGAACGACAGTGAGGAGAGGAAACAAAGAAATGTAAGAACTGAGTAAATAAGATGTGAAATACTTTATTTCTATTCAAATACCTGAATATATGTACAGTGTATAGAAACTTTTATTTATGGACATGTAAGGCAGTGTTAATGACACGCTGCTCTTTGTTTCTCTCCTCACATGAAGAACAACTTTATCTTTTATTGATTTATATAAACTTTATTAACGTCTAAAACCCTGATTCACCAAACGAGTACAAATCACATGATATCAAATCTGTTTGGTTACCACGGCAATACAAATCAAAGTACCCGATATCAGGTAATGTCTGGTTTCTATGAACAACAATCACAGGTAAAATCTTGATCCAATGTATTTGTGTAATTTAGACCGTGTGCAGGAGTCTGCAAGAGACTTTTAATGGACTTAATGGATTAACTCATCCATTCAAAGCAGAGGGAGCAACTTGTGGTTTAGTGTTTTACCCAAGGACACATGGGACATGTGGCTGCAGGAGCAGGGGATCAAACCCCTGACCTTCCAGTTTAGAGACGACGACTCTACAAACTGAGCCACAGCCGCCCCATGCACATTTCTTATGAAACAGACGTTGCGTTTTCATATTTTTCTGTGCTTTCGAGATGTCCGATCACTAAAATAAAAAAGATTGTATCGTTTGAAAACAGCATCGAACATTTACCTCCAAACAGACATGATGCTGTGTGGATGTTAAAGAGACAAATATTCTTAATTCAAACACGATGAATTAATGTCATATTCAAACTCATAACCTTGTTTTCTAAACGTGCCGTCGCTCTGAATCTAAAGCTGGTGAACTATGTTTGCACAGCGTCCAAACTCTTTCTGGTTTAAGGAGGTTACAAACAATCCACGAGGTCTGACAAGAAAAAGATTGTGAAAACATGAGCCATTAATGCCATTTTTTAAACTCATCATGAAAGACCCAACAGCCAATCACAGAGCAGACATAAACTGTGGCAACGTTAGCAGTGCTAACACCGACAGACTTTAACCTCCATTTACTAGACCAGTATTGTGAGACACCACCCTGCTTCTTGGCTTGTTTAAATCCTGTAGCATTAGACCAGCGTATCGGACCTGATATTACGATTAGTAGTTTAAGTAGTTTGTGCAAATTGTGCACATCTCTACCTTCAAACTTGAGGAAAAAGAATTAAGCAAACGTTAGCAGCATCTGCCCCAAAGAGCAGCAGAAGAGTTTGATTTGAAGCATTGAGCTTCTTTATTCAGGCTCATAGGTCAGTTTGTGTCCGAGAGGAGGAGGAGGAGATGATGAGACGCAGCGGCTTCAGGAGGACGTGAGGAGTCACAGTCAGAGAGCGAGCAGCTGACTTTAAAAAAAAAACACTGAGATGAAATGTGTGACATCAGAGGATGACAATTGTGCTGAATGTCAGAGTTTAGCTGAGTGAGTGTGTGTGAGAGGTGTGACACACAACAAGAAGGGACTTTACATTCCTGTTTCAGTATTACTACTTGCTTACAACGCTCTACCATCCACTCACACTTAACTTCTACCCGGGTCATCACGATACCACAGTCTCAAACTTTAACGATATCCATTCACAACAATAGAGGTGCTAGTCCGTCTAAACTGCACAAAAACATTGGCAACATATCAGTACTGAAACATTGCCAATGTTTTTGTGCAGTTTAGACATAGGCAGGAACTTTTTGTAAAACAAAACGAGACTGAAAATATGTTTTTTGATATCAACAATTATTAAAAATCTGACTATTGTTTTTAAATGTGGTATCAAAAATAGGAACATTTTGACGACCTTACTCTTAACCATCCATCCATCCCCCCACACACACACACACACACACACACACACACACACACACACACACACACACACACACAGTCACCTCCATGATTACTTGACTTTCACCTCAAACTGGATCGTCCCCTGAGCCGCTCTCACTCCTGGTGCTACGATGTGTTCTGGTGTGTGTCGGCCATGATGACAGTGATGATGTAATGGAGTATTAAACGACTTCTCTCACAGGTGTGTACTGGTTAGCTCTCGGCATCAGTGTGAACAGGTCACACACGGACTGATGGACCACTCAACTCACACTGGGGGGGGGAGAGAGATCATAAGACTAAACCTGAGCAGAGCTGGATTTACCTGTCTCTAAAGATCCTGCAGTCCTATAGGTCAATCATGTCCCGCCCTCCTATAGGCTCAGGGGGCTGTCAATCATCCCTGTGTGGTCGTCTTCTCGGCTCCTCTACAACTACCTCCACAGCAGCAAAAACACAGCCCGTCCTCTTTGCTAACACACTGTCATCAGCCTCGAGCCTGTGAATGTCTACACACACACACACACACACGCACACACACACACACGTGAATATACACACTAACTCTCTATACATCAAAGTGCTGGACTCCCTGTTGTTTCCCTCTCTCCCCTCTCCTGATATCCTCTGATGGTACGAGACGGTGTAACGCTTCAGATGATATTTAGATCACACACAGAGAGTATCATTTAGCCTTAAAGGGTTCACTTTAAATGAAACACAATCGTTTCATATGAGTCCTTGCCTGAGGTCTGTACTACCTGTCCCCTTACTCAACACCTGACTTTACTCGAGTTATCTATTCCTTATCTGGAAGGTGGGGCTAAATCTCCTGGCTGCATCAACTCCCACACCAGAAAAGTTTCAAAGATCTGAAAAGCCTGTTTTTTTGTTTTGTTTTTTTAAACGTACTGGCCCTTTAAGTGTGCCTCAGTCAAAGAGTGTCGCTGCTATTGGTTGTTAGAACATGTTGCTGTCACTTTAAGAACACTCGTATGTTAAAGGACCTGATGGGATTGAAGATTTTATTTACAGAGATTTACTCTTAACTGGTTCAGTTTGCAGTAACACACGCTGACCAGCAGGGGTCAGTAGTGTAGGGAGCAGGATGGCTTACACACAGGAAACACATTTTGTATGTTTTAAGATAAATTTAATCTTTGGTGTATTCAAAATCAACATTATTGATACCTGTTTGGTTACCACAGCAACATAAATAGAAGCCCCACCCACCTAACACAATATTGTGTAATTTCTGTGTTTTAAAGGTTGAAGCTAACTCCTGCACACTGGCCACATTTTTACAAAATCGTTGGCAACATTTCGATACAGGAACGTTGCCAATGTATTCTTGCAATTAAGAGGCCGTGGCGTCTCCTCTTCTCTCTTCGTGTAAGAGACATAAACGCAGCTTTTGCATCTTTACGAGACACCCAAAAATAGGTGAGAAACGCAGAATTGACCAACCTGTGAATTTGCTCCCGGCAGCTTTTAGTTTTAAAGTAGCGGAGGTCGTTTGTTATTGAACATGTCAAAGAAAGGGAGGGAATAAATCAGCTGACCACTTTATCAAAGACGTCTTCATAATGAGGCAGAGGAGGCGCCCCCTGCTGGTTCATATGTCTTACACTGAAACTAAACCTTGTCATGTCCCAGTGAAGAGCTGCTCTAAAGGCCTTAAAGAGACGAGTGCTGCTCCCTGATCTGGTGTCGGCTTTTTACCTCTGATTGTACCACAGCTCTGTTTCTAAAACCACTACACGAGTAACCACCAAGAGTTCAAAGTCACCCTCCTCTGCTTCACATCCTGTCCCGCCCCAAGTCCTTTCTACCTTTGGGACTGAGCTTTGAGTCGTTAAGACCGGGAACAGAAGTCTCCTTTACCTCTAGAGGCGCCCCGTCCCCCCAAACACTTTCTATTGCACCATTAATCTGGGAGAAACCACTACAGTAGAGTCCAGTCCAGGTGTTGTGGTCTAAAGCTGCAGCCCCCCGCCTGATGGAGGTCCTCTCTCCCCCCCCCCCCCCCCGATGTTTGCACTGCCCCCCCCCCCCCCCCCCCCCCCCCCGTCCAGCCTTGGTCCCGTTCCCTTCCATCCTTTTCTACAGACGGTCCATGAAATGTCTTCCCGGTACATCGGCGCAGTGTTTCTACAGACGGAGGTTCAACAACAATAACATTGTTTCTAACGGTGACATGCTGTATGTCATACTGTAAATGATGTTTATCTGTCATGCCTAGTCAAATAATTTAAACAATAAAAAGAGGGATTTTTTAAATGTCTATAATATCTGAAAGTCCCTTTGATGTGTAGTTCTGGTGTTACTGTTGTTGTAGTGTATGTGATACCCTGTGGGGTTTGTGTTACTTTTTAAGATAATAAAATAACAATGTTTGATTAAACTCATGTCCCATGTCTTCATGTGATCAACGCCATTGATCTGTAACCTTCAACCAATCACACGGGCCCTGTTTGAAAGCATGGAGACGTGTTTCTTCACGACTCTCAGCAGAGAGTTTCATGTTGATTCAAACATGGAGATAGTCTCTGTGAGCGTCGCCATGTTGGAAAAGTTAAGATCAAAGAGAGGTGAGTCTGAAACCTGTCAGTCAACCAAACCACGGCCTTCAGTATGCAAATTAACCTCATCATCCGTGAAATAAAATACAATCATCTGCACAATAAAATCTGAACAAATCATGCAGCCGTCATTAATGAGTTTAGCCGCTAGGTGGAGCTGTTGCTTCATCATTGTTGCTTCAGGAGCAGAAACCAATCCCTGATCTTAGCTGGGGCGCTGATGGCTTGGCAGTCCCGCATGTCATTCCCCACTCTTTGTGCCAATGTCCTGCTCTTTCCGCTGTCCTTTCACAATAAAGGCAAAAGCTCTGATGTTGAATATCACATCTTTCCTTTCTGTTTGTCTGAGCTTTAAACTCAGCAGAGTTCCGTTTTTTTTATTTTTGGAATAAACAGCGAAGAAGAATCCCTCCAGGTATGTCCACCTCGTGAAGATGATGAATATCAGACACATGTTCACACTCAGATTTAAACCAACAGTGTGTCATCTCTTATCACAGACGTTAAAACTAAGTGAACCCACAAGAATGAAAACAACAATGAAATACTTTAAACGACAATATTACAAACCCTAATAATTATGACAAGATTTGATTCCTTTCATAATAAGTGAGTGTGGTTTTATTTTGAAGGGTCGCTCCCTGAACACACTCGTGGGTGTTGTATCTGCGTGTCGTGTCGTCCCCCACCCCCGCACATGTGACCCCTCCCCCCTGTGGAGGACACCGTGCTCGCTCAGCTGTCTGCTCATTTCTCTCGTGTCTTCTCTCGGAGCACGAGCACAGCCCGCAATGTCCCGCAGTCAGAGCCCCGCGTGCTCCCCGCAGCTCCTCGCGCTGCTCCTCCTCGTGCTCGGTGAGGGACAGCAGAGCCCCGCGAGCAAACCGCTGCTCGTCTTCCTGATCGATGGATTCAGGTATGACTACATGGACGACCTGCACGCGCTGCCGGGATTCACAGAGCTCGTGACCAACGGTGTGAAGGTGGACTACATGACGCCGGACTTCCCCAGTTTATCCTACCCCAACTACTACACACTGATGACAGGTAATCAATCAATTAATCAATCAATCAATCAATCAATCAATGATCAATCAATCAATGATCAACTACTACTCACTGATGACAGGTAATAACGTTTCTTTTCAAAAATGTTTTCACGATGATTAGAAGTTCACCTGCGATGTTTAAAACCATTCAAATAAATCTATTCCTGATATTGGGAGCCCTGAGGTTATTTTCTGTTCTGAGACAGAACAGGTGTCAATATAGCATATCATATCATGTCATTTGATTTGCTCTAGAATCGTATTGAAGTTTAATATTCAGATTTTCTGATCAGCTGTGAAAATAAATAATGTGATAAGAAGGGAAAGGAGACAAACAGAGGAGAAGAGGGCACTTTAGGCATGTTTATGTGTTATACATTATGTAGCCTTTAAACAGACTAACTAGACAGACTACTCAAGTTAATTTGTAGTTAGGATCAGCATTCATGAGAACTGTGTAGATTCAACGTTGGACTGTGAAGAACACACAGAGACATGGACATATGAAGGAAATAAATCCCTAGGGGGTCTGGGGGTAGATGCCATTTCCTGTATTCTAGTGCATTTTAACACCATATTAGCATATCAGATAATCCAAACTGGTTCTGTGAGATATAGGAGTTCTGGCTCAATAAAGATCAAAAAAGGGCCCCACATGAAAGTCATTGCAACAATGATGTTTCATAGTATTTCTTGGTCCTAATAGTCTTCTGGAGTTTAGTGTGTTTTCTTCAGCCAAGAGGGCTCTGTGATTAAAAACACACAGGGAACAATACTCAAAATATTTATTTGACACCTCAAAAGAAACAAACTATGATGAAGCACGGACATAAGTGCTGCTCCAATGCTGCAGGTTGCAGGGACGAATCAAGTCTCAAGTCTTTGAGGTACTATACCTCAAAGACTTGAGACTTGATTCAAGCTTGCATGTCTTCATAGGAATCAATATTCTCCATTCAACGGCAGCAGTTTAGTGTGTTTTGCCACAAGAGGGCAATTAAGTGTTTTTTTTTCACCCATGAGGGCAGTTTAGCACGTGTTTCTGCCTCCCAAGAGGGCAGTTGTATTTTGTCAACCAGTAGAGCACTTAAGCACGCCTTTTTGCCACCCAAGAGGGTACTTTAACATGCGTTTTTGCCTCCCGAGAGGGCACTTAAACATGTTTTTTTTCACCCAAGAGGGCAGTTTAGTGTGTTTTGCCAACCAGGAGGGCAGTTGTATTTTGCCAACCAGGAGGGCACTTTAGCATGCGTTTTTGCCACCCAAGAGGGCAGTTTATCATGTTTTAACCAGCCAAGGGGGCAGTTTAGTGTGTTTTGCCAACCAGGAGGGTACTTTAGCACTCGTTTTGGTTCCCAAGCGGGCACTTTTGTGTGCGTTTTTCAACAATTGAGCCACACGGGCCCCCCTGTGCACATCACTGCTACAGAGTGAAGTTTACACAGAGAGAGAGAGAGAGTCTTTTTTTAAGTCAGGCCCCGTGGCCACTGAGCGTTTTTTCCGGCAGTAAACTGCTGGCTGTGTGCTCGGGAGCACTTGATGAAGCGTTGGTGCACTGAGAATAGTGAGTGCTGCACGTCCCTTCTGTCTCTATGACGACAGTCGCTGTGTGACTGTGCTTTTTACTGCATTTGTTTGTTATTTTATTTGAGATCGATTTTTTTCCCGATCAGACATGGAGCAAACAGGATGTGAGTACAGGGCACGATCGGTCGTAGACAAAAATATGGGGAATATCATCCGTCGTGAAAAGAGCGCTGTTAACATCAACAGCGCTTTTCTGAAAAGTTGACAGATTTTCAACTTCGAAGCACATAAAAGACACTGGGTGCTGCGCTTTCTCTCAGGGCGGCCACCTGCTGCTGCTAATGCTGGCACGCAGAAGAAGACGCTAGGTAGACACAGGCCATTATTGTACAGGGTTTGATTTGATGGCCTTGTTGATGAGGTGAATTAACATTTATGATCTCATGAAGACGTCAGGTTTATGTCTTTATTGATGATCAGTTACTGCAGGTGTGTCTGAACTCATTGATCCCAGAACTACAAACTCGCTCTGACGGAGCTGCACTCTCACACTGACGGAGCTGCACTCTCACACTGACGGAGCTGCACTCTCACACTGACGGGGCTGCACTCTCACACTGACGGAGCTGCACTCTCACTCTGACGGAGCTGCACTCTCACTCTGACGGAGCTGCACTCTCACTCTGACGGAGCTGCACTCTCACTCTGACGGAGCTGCACTCTCACTCTGACGGAGCTGTACTCTCACTCTGATGGAGCTGCACTCTCACACTGACGGAGCTGCACTCTCACTCTGACTGAGCTGCACTCTCACACTGAGAATAAACAGTCACACCCCATGTGTAACGGCTGCAGACCTTTGCCAGGTGGAGGACGGGTATAAAGATGTGCCAGGTTTGAGCCGCTGACTGATTTAACCGTGGTTATATGGATAACAGTCATACTAACAGCCTTTATTTGGTCTACCAGAGGTGGAATTGTTTACCTGATTTCTGGAATGTTTGAGCGTCACGTCTCTTATAAATACTGCAGCGCGGCCATCTTTTCAGTCTAACTTTGCGTGGCTGTTAGTGCCACTTTTTGCAATGAGGCTGATTTGTTCATTTAAATGACTGCATGACTTATTTAGATACATGTAAACAGCACTGGTGCAGAGATGCTGTTTGCTCTGCAGTGCAGTTAGGGGAGAATTTAACCCTTTGTGTATGTTACGTTAATTAGACGGTGTCTTCTAGACTCATTTGCACGGGATTAGCGAGCGCAAAAGCCTTTAGTGACCTGCCTTATGTTACCAGAGTTACCTACAGTCACACTGTGTGTGTGTGTGTGTGTGTGTGTGTGTGTGTGTGTGTGTGTGTGTGTGTGTGTGTGTGTGTGTGTGTGTGTGTGTGTGTGTGTGTGTGTGTGTGTGTGTGTGTGTGTGTGTGTGTGTGTGTGTGTGTGTGTGTGTGTGTGTGTGTGTGTGTGTGTGTGTGTGTGTGTGTGTGTGTGTGTGTGTGTGTGTGTGTGTGTGTGTGTGTGTGTGTGTGATGACTGACGAGCGTTAATGATGCATGGTGAAGTGTGATCTGCAGGCTGCGTGTATGTGCATTAAAATACAGACACCAGAAGGAAGATATAAAACAGATCTGATTCTCTATGATGTGGCTGTTCATCTCTGAGTACATAACACACTGCAGTGAATGTGCAGTGTGTGTGTGTGTTCTCCCCCCAGTCAATATTTGAGCAGCGTGTTCTCAGGTCAGTTCAGAGAGTGTTGTTCCACTCGGAGTATGAGCTCTCTAGCAGACGATAAAATAACAAACAATGCAATCAAGATTGTGACACTCGCTCACACCGCATGCTGTGAGGACCCGCTG